CGGGTGATTTGTTGCCCTTGAGCTTGACGGTGGCTAGTTGCAGCTCTTCAAGGGTGAACTGRGGGATTTGTCTCGATCTTAGAATATAATCTGGGTCACTAGCCCTTGTTTCGTGTGTGGGGAATAGTGCGTTCACAATGTTGTCCASTTTAGCAGCGGTTAAATCAGGCGGCTTTGCTCGAGCGCCGAGTTKTTTCATCACTATTTTATACCCGAGTCCCCAGGGGTTTCTGTTTATATCCTCGCGTAGTTCCTCCCACTTTTTCTTTTTACTGTCGTTGATGGCATGCTTTAGCTCCTTTTTTGCTAATTTGTATTGGTCGGCTTCATGTGTTGCGGCTCCTCTACGCCTGGATCTCGTGTAGGATCTGCGAAGGCGGAGGCATGTCCGTCTCAGTTGGGCTATATTTTCAGTCCACCAGTGAGCTATATATATTAATGTCGTCGTATGTTCGCGGTATTCTCGGTTTCCAAGGCTCAAAGGACAGTAGATCTTCCACAGAAATTTTCTCTCGAAAACTCATAACGTTGACTTATCCGATGTTGTCATCATCCATGCCTCTGCACCACAGAATGGGACGGGGATGATGTGTGACTTGTAGAGTTTGCTCTTTGTTCGTCAAGAGAGAACTTTACTAATTGAGAAGCCTACTCAGTCCGAAGTAGCACCTGTTGACAAGAGTTATTCAGCATTGGATTTCGAGGCTAACGTTGCTATTGATGTTAATGCTGGTTCAGGATGGGAGATATTTCGTCTTGCTCTCGTCCACTACCAGACCTACTTGGTTCGCTTCCTTATCTAGCCTGTAGAAAGCAAAACTAACGTCGCAGTTTCTGATCATCGGACAACAGCTGTACATCAACTGCTGTACACTTTTATGGAAGATTATACCTTTTGTATTCACCTTTTGCAGCTAAACTAATACTATTTAATACGACACAAACTTTAGAGAACAAACATTATACATATTTTAAAACGCTGTTAGATCTCTCTGAATAAGAAGTCGGTGAGCTCTCTCTTTTTTAATAGCATTATTTATACCCTAAAAAGGGTAAATGATGTTTGTAACAATGAGAAGAAAAGGTCGTAGACCCTATGAAATATATATATATATATATGTGATCAGCATGATCAGTTGAGTCGATTTCATTCTTTGTACTGAAAACTTTTGCATTTAATGAGATATCCACGAAATTTGGCATAGATATTGTCGACGTTAACGCTTTTGCTAGTTTTAAGCTGCGTTTTTGCCATTGGCAGCACTTAATGGCTATACAGAGAGATGTTTGCTCTAAACTCCACCATATGGACCTGGAATAACCACTTCTAAATACTTTCACTGAATGTTCTGAGTTCATTTTTAGTTTTGTTTTTTTACAAAATTTTCCTACATTTACTACAACTTCCGCTATGCGACATCTGCCGGCAATTACGATGGAGTATACTGAACTGAGTGGTGGATTTCAGTAATATTATGGTTAGTTGTTTAACTCACCACAAACTGACGCAACCAGTCACAATAGCAGCCGCACGGGGTATGCATTTTATGAGATTGATGATTAAATGACCAAGTCGATTTCTGGTTTGCTTTCATACGAATTCGAAGAACGCAAACGAGCGGACGTGTGTGTCGGAAAGAAATATATATAAACGACGGAAGTAAATTTGTGCTTCGACAGAGAAACGGGGAAAAATTAAGAGAGCAAATATAAGCTAACTATAATAAATAGAAGCAAACGCAAATAAAAATTACCAATTTACATAAAAGTGCAAGTGTGTCGACTTAAATTCAAGAATAGCGAAAAAAAAATATACTTAGCTAAATAAAATAAAACCAAAATCTAATAAGCAAAAGAAACAAATTGGTAAAACGAGTGCGAGAGAAAAATGTGACAAAAAGTAAGCGCGACTACAACGAATTTAAGCGAATTAACATAACATGTAAATGCGGAGCAAAAGGAACGAACAAGTGCCTTTTACACAACAACACCAACAACTACCAACACCAAACCCCGACTGCTACTAACCAACAACCACGCATTTCGTGTAAAGTAAATAAATAATTTTAAACAAATTAATTAGAGAACATACGCTATAAGTAAACTAAGTGTTTGAGCAACCAAGTGGGGATGAACTCATTGTTTAACTTCAAGCTCCGGAGTTAGACGCGCTACTGTTGCACTCAAGTCGTCAGATAGTGGATTACTAGACAGCAAAAAAAATACACATATATAAAAATAATATATTTACACATGTATGTGAGTATATGTACATAAGTGTATAACTAACTAGACGTCAGCAAGCCAAGTTATTAGCTTGGAATTTCGGCCAAGAAAGACACAGCAAGTGTAATTGCGGAGAGTTAAATGAGAGAGATAGAGAAAAAGTAAAACCAAGTTTGAAGCTGACAAAATTTGAGCTTAGAAGAAGCGAAGTGCAAGTTAAAAAAAATAAATTGAAACTAAAGAATATTTGAAAAACGCGTCAGAATTGAAGAAAGCGAATTTTCGAAAATAACACAGTGTATGCTTAGAGCCTAAAGACATAGCAAGTGCTTTACAATTTGGCTAACCCCACAACCCCTCACCACCTTTACCGCGCGCCAGTTACGAACAAGCGTGAATTTTCAGCAAAATTTTTCTTTGCCAAAACTTTTGAACCTTAAACAGTTTTCATATTCGTCGCCCAAAGTGCGCTTATATCAAACACACAAACAAACAAGCATACATACGTGTATGAATTATCTAATAGCCCAGCGGCGGTAAAAGCAGTAACAACAGCAACAACTGCATAGTTACAGCAAAACAATAATAATAGCAACAACGGCAGCAGCGTATAAATAATTTTTAAAACTTATACGGAAAAACAGCAACAACAACAAACACAGCGAGCAAATCAACAGCAGCAAGCAGATAACACAGGCGAAGCAAAAAAGAAAACACTATTAATTTACGTGCACTAAACACTATTATATACATACATACAAACAATCAAAGGTACGTGTGTATGTAGAGACAACGCGGCGTACAGCAGAGAGAGGCATAGCGCTCACAACGTGTCTACACAGCCACATACATTTGATTTTGTGATTCACTACGCTGTCGCTGCCTGCGTCGCAGCAGCCAATAATAATAATAACAGCAACAACAACATCAAACACCCCACACACACACAAACAACAATCAGAAGCGACTAACGTGTGTCGTGCGGCTGTCGAGTGTGTGTGCGAGCGTGACAGCAAGAGCGTGAGTCATAAAAGTGAAATGAAAATGCGGGTAAAGAGAGAATCACCGCTGCTCGTGCTGAGATTTAGGACAATCAACAGCAGAAATGGTAGGTACAACATATAAACAGACAGTTATTTCTACAGCGCAGTGACGTGTGTGCACGCGCGCTGATATATGTGTGTGTATGTGTCCGTGTGTACATTTTGCATTTACCTTTTTTTCAATGTGTGTGTGTGTGAGTTTCCATAAATTTTCAAAAATACACAGTTATTATATTAAAGTACGTTGGTCAGTGTTGTGCATCCAAGTGAACGGAGGGTGAGCAGCCGCTAATACCACCCACCAAAGTCACAGCGCACAAGTATTGTAAATTTACATACACACATATTACATATGTATATACATACTCGTATTTATGTGTGTATGTGTGTAGCACATAGTATTGCCTTTTCACGGCACTTTTCACGCGGCCGACTGTGGGCTGAGTGCTGCTTGGAAAATTTTTCGCCACCTAGGCGTCCAACCAAGCAACGACGACGAGATCGACGCCTTCTCAACGGCCACATAGACGCCCACGTTGCGCATTTTCGGCATTTCAGCATTCATTTGTCAGTTTAATTATAAAATTTATTCAGCTATTTTGCTCTTCAACCGTGTTAATAATAGCGGAAATATGCGTATATATTTAGAAATTTGCCAAAATATCAGCGATTCATCAGCGTAGAGGCGCAAATATGTTGATTTCGTTACGCATAATTTAAATGGTGAGTCTGCCGAATTTAAATACATAGTATATGTATGTATGTATATCAAAGAAATGTATCAATAAACAAAGCCAAGACATCATCATTGTTTTTGCCATTTGCTGGCTTGTCTAATAATTTTGTTGATGTTGCCGTTTTCTAAGCGCACTACACCTAGTCGCCCTCATTTTTGCTCATAACTCGCTTTATAGCCCAAAGCAACAACGTGAATTTTTATATAAATTTTATTTTAGTGATCTTGTCGCGGCATAGTTATGCGCCAACATCAATTTTATAAAAAAATTTTTTTTTTTTTTTTTTTTTCAAAAATGTATGTTGAAGCGTCACTAGTCGCAGAGACCAATTCAGTTTGCCTTTAAAAATTGTGCGTTTCTTTCGCCATTTGACTACGCTCGTCTCACCTTTTCACTTTTTTGCCATTTTTATGCAAAACATAATCAAATTTGATAACCATTTTGCTTTGAAGTCTGTTTTGTGCTGCTCTTTCGCACATTTTTAGCATTCATAACAGTTTTTTAAACGCTTCGGATGAGACTCAGAAATAATATCTGATATACTATATGCATGTATGCATTTTATGTGTTTGGATCCCTGCTTTTCTAACTTTTCCCCATTTACTTGACATTTTTGGGAAAGATTTTATTTTTCTCTTCGGAATTTGTAAAATTAATACCAAACCGAAAATGTTTTAGAAAAATAATTTTTTTGTTGTAAATCACCAAAATTATATTTTTCCTCAAATTTTCGAACTTACTTCGCATAAATACATATTACATTACTTTAAGCTTAAAATACCCACATACATACATTAGCTACATTACAAAGATACATGAATCATTCTGCAACAGAACACCACACGATTTTCGTAATAAATCAATTAATTTGTAATGTACGTATGTAGTAGGTAGTAAGGGAATCCCCAATTGTGGAAATTAGCTAAAAGTGAAATCATATCTGCTTGAAATTAAGTAAACAAGTAAAAAGATATTCGTAAGCGTTTTCAATTTAAGCGGAGGTTGTAATTTGTCATGGGATCGTTCATACATTTTGCTGATCACAAGACAAAACAAGACAAAAATACTTTGTAGGTAATGAATATTTTTACCTAAGGTTCTTATTAACTAGTTTCTATAAGCGGAACACAGCCAGCTTTATTTTTGCAGATTTTCGTATTTATTATTTATATTAAGCATTTTTTGTAATCTAAACCTTTATTTTATTTGATTTTTTTCATCATTCTCTTGATTTAGTTTTCATTTGCTTGTTTTAATTACAAAAACTTACTTATCTCCTTTCTTACTATCCTTCATTTTTTATAATTCATATACACAATTAAATTAATTTGCGATAACATTTCATATATGTATACATATTTAGTGCATACTCACACGTTTGCATTAAAAAAAAACTATTTTTATACACATTCATAAGCTTTTATATCAAATATTTATGATCTAATCGCTTACTCAACTTCTTCCCAGAACTTCATTTCATAATGCCTCATTCGATTCTGCTGAATTCTATGCTGGAATATATTCTACATACTTACAAACGCAGAGTAACAAAATGTAACACAGGTGGCGGGGACACTAAAAGCTTTAAGATTAATTTGTTGCTGTGCCTCATAGTTTTTCCCGAAATTATATGCAAAATTGCCACAACATTGTTGGTTTTGTAGAAGGCAGAGTTAAGCGTGACTTAACTTGATACAAAGTAAAATTATGTAAGGAATGATTTTTGAACCCAGTAGGTTTTATTGCTATAAATCGTTTGAAATTTCAAAAGAACTTCATAATTTTTGCAGGTTTTTCTTACATTGAGTCAGCAACAATTTTTTTTCTGTTTACTTTTAATTTTTTTTTTTAATTTTCCATAACTTTTTTTTAAACTAAAGAAATTAAAAAAAAGAA